GTGAATTTACAAAATGTATCGAGAACCACTGAAAGTTCAACTGCATCTGCAAAGTATTTAAACCAAACTCAATGATGACCCTCCCTCACTCTCTGGAAACAAAACCCACTCAAAATGTCAACTTCTCTAAAACTGGTTTTCAATGTAAAAGATCACTTTGAACCAAGAAAGCCGATATCAGACAGTCAAACGCAAGTTGGAAATCAAACCAAATCTGCCCTTAAATCCTTACCCTACCGACCACGGCTCAACCAAGCCCCACCTTACTTACCAACCAACAAAAGGTACTAAATAAAATCCCAAGTGGTGGCAAGATCTCTTTGAAGTTCTCCCTTACATAGTTTGTGATGAATTCAACTGATCATCTGTAACACTGTTTAAATCAGACTGGGACAAGGCAGAACTTGCTGACATGGTGGGACGCTTTATAAATCACACAAAAGCAGCAATGCTAGGGCTGAGTGAGCCTAATGGTTACCCAGAACAAAGTGGCTTCTTGTCAGAGTGTCAGGAGGTGTGCTGATCACTAGATACCTGGCCACAGAAGACAGGATGCCACTGTATACCATGTATAGGATAGTAATTCTGCCAGATAGCAACAAGTCCTTCAGTGCTTCACTTGACATGATAGTGTTTTTCAATATTAAACTACCAGCATGGTAAGTCAGTCCCATATAGCCAACTCTCAGTGATAACTTAAGAAACCCACTTCACTATACTGCTTTATAATGTCATCAAATCTTCCATCAATTTTCTGGTGATACCAGGCACTGACATGTTCTTTTTCCACTCCAACAGCCAACCTGTGGTGTCTTGCTATTCTGAAAGGCCTTCACGCTGACCCACTCTCTGTCCCTTTTCTGGTATGGTTTTTCCCTATACATTGTACCACAGATATCACAAACCACTCTTCCCCCTCCCCTCCACCTAAAGTTCCAGCCTGCCCAGTACCCTCACCACCAAATAAGGCAAAGCCTAAATCCCTCAATCCAACTTCTGCACTTCATATTTACCTCATAAAAGTACCAATTAATTTCAGTAAGATGAATACTTCTATTAAAATTAACCCGACCCACAAGCCTGAATCTGAAACAGGGAGCACTGAGTAGGAGTAACCATATCTCTCTCTCTCACTCACACTCACACCTGGACTAACCTCAGCACAGGAGTCTTTTGATGACATTCAACGCAGCAACTGTCATAAAAATTATCCCTATTTCAATGCTCAGTGACATCTCTAATTTTCCATCAGGGCACTTTTATAAAATCCTTTTCCCCAACCCCAGCTTCAGAGAAACCTTCTAGATGAAGGAAGGTTGCTTTACACAGCCTGACCACAATTGTCAAAGTAAAGCACCTTGTCAGGAAAGGTGACAACGTTTTAAACAAATTCAGGTGAAAACATTAAACAACCTGAACACTTCAGATTCTTCTCTTTAATTAAAAAAAATTTCCATCATTCAGTGCTACTCGTCCCCAATACAAACATTACATAAGCTCATCACAATCTCTATTTTCAAAGTAGTTTCCAACAGTTCCACATGCGCATGGTGTTCATGTAATTTCCAATTTTAAAATTAATTAAAAACCAAGAACATTTTGACCTGGACGATCAACGAGCGGTCACAGAATCTCAAAATTTCTCATTCTGTAAGTCAAGCTGCTAGGTCTCAAATTTGACCAGTGCTTCAAAAAGGTGGATGATACCCATGCCACAACCACCTACAGCAACAGTTTGGAGAATTTCAGTTTCAGAAATGCACAGAATGTGCATTCCTATTCCTATTGTTCTCGGTGCTGAAGCGAGATTACTCTGTGACCTTTCCGACCATTATCCTGGTCTTTCAACACCTACTGATTTCCACAATAGAGAAAGAGGTCTTTTCAGACAACTGAAAAAAAAAAAGTCCTAAGTAATCATATGACAGCCTTGAAACAAAATAAGGCTGCAAGCAGCAATACAGAAAAATAGGCCCATCGGTCCCAAAGTAAGTTTACAGCGGTGTTGTGCAACAACTTCTTAAAAATTTATCTGTCAAGGCAGTAAATTTGAATAACTGAGTTTCACCAACACTGATGGGGAAAATATAACTTTGGAGTTGAAGAAATTCTTTTCTTTTATACAAAGAAAATACTTTTACCCTCAAAATCACAGCGAGGCAGAGAATTTCAAACCAACTTCGCGATAAAGAAACCCCAAGACAGGGCAGCAAACAGCAGACTCTACACAGGGACTGAATTAAAATGTATTAAAAAGTTATGGCCTTTTCAGATTAGTTAACAAAGCCTTCCTGACAGAATGTTATTCTTGCTTGGGAGGTTACAAGTGATTTCCCCATTTGCTTCGCACCCACTTGCAGATTGATCCTTTTAGTTTCTTTTCAATTTAAACATAATATTGAAAGAAGGCCCTTGATGCGGAGACCTGTTTTAAATCAGCTTGTAACCGAGACTCATTTATCCAATGGAAGCTTAGGTGGATTAAATGTATTTTTTTATTTGAACTTGATAAGAAGCCTTGTGTAAACAGTAAATAATAATTCTGAGAACGATATCTAGAAATGGAAACCTATAGAAAACTGTTGCAGACCTTTCTTTTAAATAATACAAAGTACACAGTGCTTCTATGTTGAGCCCAGGTTGTCAATACATAATTTATATTGCTCTCAGCAAACTTTTGACAAAAAAATTATTGCATTTATAGAAGAGTAATGATGAATTTTACACGTAGCACTGATTATAGTGGACAACACATTTCAAAAGTACATAATTCAATATTTGATGTGTAAAATCCAATATTGACTTCCACTGTACTCTTGTCCTGAACAGGCAAGCTCACGCCTTAGAAAAGCATATTAAAAGAAAAATCACATTTAAATTCAAACAGACTATTTATTTTCCAAATCACCCATAAACTGAGAGATACAATTTGCTTCACAAGTTAATTGGTCATGTCCCTTTCTCAGTTTCTATGGAAGGGAGACCTGTTTTCAGAGGTGTTTGGAGAACATTTAACAGGTAACGAGAGATTCTCTTCTACACATCGAGACAAGGAATCCACTCAGAGTCTTACAATACAAACAAAATGCTGGCTGACTGACAGACTCTAAAATCAACATTTTCCAAAAATAAACAGGGAAGTTGGTGTCAGAAGAACAAAAGTATTTCACATTCTAGTGTGACTATCCAGGACTCAGTTCTTCCTGAACTTCCCCACTCTCAGGTCAGGCTGAGAAGATTCCATAGGTGCCCCTACTATGTGATGAACTGCTTTAGTCCTTGTGTTCAATACACTGGGCACCACAATTTGCCGCACATTAGCTTTTACTGCGGTTAATTCAGCAAATCTATAAGACTCTTTGTCTGAACGCATGGTGTAATTGGCAAGAATTCTTTGTTCTGGCTGTCCAGTGAACAAAATTAAAAAGTACAACTCATTACCAACATTATAAAACAAATTCTGACACTCACTTATGATCTTAAGAGCTCAGGTGCAGCATATGTACATGTTTAAGCTTAAGCATATCGTCAGAAACACAATATTGTCCATTGCACATCGTGCTCCCCATAAATAGGAAAAGTACAGAGACTAAATCTGTGCTTCAATATTGGACCTAAATCTAACCAAATTTGCTGTACATCTGCGGAATTAAGCAGGGCTACAGACATGAGAATACAGGATACTGTCCACAATCCCCTCCAATGTTATTGGCTGCAGAATAAAACAGAAGTTTAAATCTGAAATGACAGTGTCCCTCAAGCAGAAAGACAATATAAGCTTTAAAAGGAACCATCGCTTAATTTAAATAAAAGCCCTTCAATTAAAAAAAAAGCCACTCACTGTCAAGCTAGTACGTTCAAGAATTTAAGCTGGCTGCCAATTTAGAGGGAGTGTGTTCACCAGGGTCTGGTCATCAGATCCAAGGAGAAAATTAAATGATCGAAGTATATACAAGTAATATAAATAAATAAGATAACAGACAAGATGAAAGGCAGCCAATTCAGATAGAAAACGATTACTTTAAATCCTCACATCTCATTCTGTCACTAGCTTTGATCAGGGATCACTTAGTTATTTCATTCAAGACAAGATTAATACAGTGACACTCCTTGTTCACTCTTTGTGTACCACACAGCACCGGACTGAAAGCCTATATTACCTCAAAACAGAGGTTGGAATGTGCTATAGAACAGACTCACTCTGTGGTCTGTCAATAGACCAACAAGAATTAACACACTAACAATCGCTCCATTTATACAGAGAGAAAGCGAACAGAGAGGGGGGGAAAAAGTTTTAATATATAATAAACTGGTTCCTGTAGATAATGTTGGCGCCAAATGTCCTGTCAACTTTTTTTTTTCCTTTTTTCAGTCGCCTGGTTTATAATTTTTTTTCGGAAAAAAAAACGCTGGCAATTTTAAATGATTGAATAGGATCTTGCCAACATCCAGCCCCGCTTGTGAAATCCCTGAATGTGCGCGTTTGCCAAAGGAAAAATAGAATTGCTTAGAAGTTTTCAGCGACTAACTTTAAGTAAAATTCTTAAACCGTAACTGACCGGCGCTCAAGTCAAAATTCACTGTTGACTGTTTAAAAACGGGGAAAAAAGGAAGAAGGCTGGAAACAAAAAAAAAAGCACACAGCTTCATTCTGTACATGGAGAGATAAAGGGAGGGTACTATGTTTTTTTTAAAAAAGTGCAGATGCTGTCGAAGAGGCAAGTGTGAACTTTAAAGCAGTATACAGTGATGAACCACTGAAAGTGAAAATAAAAGTGTACACGGATTTCAAGATCCAGTACTGGGGAACACAGCGAGGGTGAGGAAAGTGGGGGAGAACTTTAGGGGAACTGAGACTCTCACTCTCCCTCGGGAGGGAGGAGGTAGGCGGCCACTTAAATCTAGGGTGTTGTTGGAGGTGTCCAGATTGCACCTTTTCCTTTCCCCTCCTAAGCCCACGGACCCTTCTGGGACCCCCGCGAGTTCACAGCCCCACTTACAGCGGACACTCCTCTCTCTCTTCCGTCCTTTTGTTCCCGTGGCTCGGCGTCTGCTCCAGGCTCTGGGGCTAGAGGGTGGGGGGTGCAGTGCTGCCTGATCCGTGAGGACTCAGGCAAACGGCACAGACCTGAGCACTCAGCTCAGTGTGACAGCGGGGTAGCGGGAGGGGCTCAGAGCAACGCTCCCCGAATGCAGCCGCCTTCTTGCGATCCCGGCTCCTTTTCCATTGTAACCAACAGCGGAACCCACTCGCCGGCACTTAAAGGGGCAGGTCCGCAGCCCTTTGGCCGACAGCTAGTTCATTAAAGGCGCGGTGTCGCCACTCTCATTACGGGAAGAGGAAAGAACATGCATTGCGGAGAAATAATCATTGTTTATTTTCCTCCAGTAAATTCTTTGTTTGAACTTTCTAATATTGCAAAAAGTCTTGGTTGTAAATAATGACTTAACTCAACCCAACGTGAAAAGTATGAGAATTAATAGTCTAGCTACTTATCTCACTATTTAAACCTGTACAAAGGCCTATTTTCATGTAATACGGATCCTGGAGTCCAAACCGCAAGGATATTAGCGTCCAGCTCTCTGCCAAAGACTTTGCCAAATTCGTCAAACCTGCACCTCACAACGTGCATTTATATAGCACCTTTCAGAACTTCCAGACGTCCCATTGCTCTTTACAGTCGATGAAGTATTTTCGTTACTGAGCTGATGTACGAAGTGCGCCAGCTAATTTGCACACAGCAAGCTCCCACAAACAATAATGTTTGGAGGAGTCTGGGTAATTAACTTATACAATAAGTAGGTACACAAAGAGTAATGTATTACAGGAGTCAATAAACAACAAGCATAGATTTAAGAACATAAGAAATAGGAGCATCTGCCCATCAAGCCAGCTCTGCCCTTCAATAAGACCATCTTTTCATGGACTCAGCTCCACTTAGCTACCTGCTCACCATAACCCTTAATTCCTTTACTCTTCAAAAATCTGTCTAGCTTTGCCTTAAAAACATTCAACGAGGTGGCCTCAACTGGGCAGGGAATTCCACAGATTCACGACTCTTTGGGTAAAGAGGTTCCTCCACTCAGTGAGAGATATAAAAGAGTTGAGTTTTTTTTTCACTCAAGAGAGTGTTGGAACTCATTGCCTAACAAGGTGATTGAGTCAGAAACTCTCATAATATGTAGACAGTATTTACATATTCACTTGTGTTGCTACAGCGTCCAGGGTGATGAGCCAATAGCTGGGAAATCGGGTTAGTATAAGCCGATCTTTGTTCACCACACAGACAATGATAGCATGATTCTGTGCTGTAAACATCTATGACTATATGAATATAATCTGTTTTATTGTTCTCCGTTGATGTTGAATGAGTGATAAATATTGAACAGGACATTAAGTAGATCTCACCCACCTCAAGAGAACAGCCTTGGTCTGACAGAAAGCCAGAACTTCTTAATAGTCAGAGATAGTAGGAACTGCAGATGCTGGAGAATCTGAGATAACAAGGTGTGGAGCTGGATGAACACAGCAGGCCAAGCAGCATCAGAGGAGCAAGAAGGCTGACGTTTCAGGCCTAGACCCTTCTTCAGAAAATCTGACCTGAAGGTTAGTGTGCTACCAACCACTCCACAGCTAACAGTCACCAGTTACCTGCAGACCATGTCATAGAGCATATTGTAACATCAGATTAACGTCCAACCACATTCAATGATACATTTCTCTCACAAACTACCCCCTTTTCCTTCTTATGCCATTTCTTGGGGGGAAGAATGATTTGGTTCCTCTCTGGTTCAATGGGCTTAGAGAGAGCCGGTAAATCTAGTGCATAGTCCCCGAATGCAGCCACCTTCTTGCGATCCCAGTCCCCTTTCCATTGTAACCAGCAGCAGAACCCCATATGAGGCACAGATGCTCGAAAGGTGAGGTAGATGAACTGTTGGGAGGTTTGTCACTCCTTCCAAAGCTTTAAGTTCACCTCTGCATATTTGTGGCAAAGTCTTGTGCAGTTTTTAGTGCCTTTCCAGATGGACCTTCTGTAAAGTGTTTAGTTGCCAACTTGGGTTTCCCACAAGGCAGTGGGAATGTTAGTCCTCCTCCAGGAAGTGTTTTCCCTAAGGTGTCACTGTCCGGTTGGGAGTCTCTTGTCACAATCTATTGTCGAGTGAGAGAGTTGTTTCGAGGTACCTGGTGTCAGGCACCTGAACAATATGGGCCAGCTGGTAGAAATGCTTTTATATGATTACCACCTTGGATCTGGACAGGTTATCTCTGGAGAGGATGCTGTTATTGGACCATCTTTCTTGCCATGAATTTCGAGCATCTTGCAAAGGCACAAATTGCTGGCAATTCAACAGTATTATGAGGTGCCTACTGTAGGCTGTGCAAGTCTCAGGAGCCCATAGGAGCATGGAGATCGTTGCTACCCAGTAAATTATGACAATAGTGGCACTGTACTATATGATACTATAATCTCAGGTTTGATATCTCAGTTCTCAAACGCACTTTTCCTTTAGCAGCCAAGGGCTGAATTGACACAATTAAAGGCAATGATGAATTTTGTTGTCTATGCCTACCTTTAACAAGGGGAGGCTACAACAGAGCAAGTGTACCCATAAGACACACACTGCAGATGTACAAGAAGACAGCTCACCACCACCTTCTGAAGGGGAATTAAGGATCTTTGTGTGTTACGATCTGCCTGTACCCCGTGCAAAACAAAACTTTTCAATGTACCTGGGCAGGTGTGACAATAATAAATCAAATCAAAATCAAATCAAATGTTGGCTTTGCAATGACACCAGATGAACTGCCAATTGAAACAGCATGAGGTATTACCATCATTCAGATTCTGCACTCAGTCTTGTAAGAGCCTCACAAAGCAAAACATTTTTAAAAGCAGTGCATGTAGACTCATCTTGAAAACTTTGTTTCTAATATAAACTGAGAACTGTCACTGGTTGGATGCCACAAACATGAAAATTCAGTTGATGTTTAACTGCCACTAAGTGAAAAGCTTCAACATTTCAGAGAGAAACATGCAGCCCTAACGGTATAACTCAAGTCTGATTTGATTTGATTTATTATTGTCACATGTACCTAGCTACAGTGAAAAGCTTTGTTTTGTGTGCAGAAAAGGCAGATCATACCATACAAAGTGCATTAGGGTAATAGAATAAAGCAAGGAATACAATGTTATGGCTGCAGAGAAGGTGAACAGAGAGCGAAATCAACATTAAATTTAAAATTTGAGAGGTCTGTTCAAAGGTCTGATAACAGTAGGGGAACAATTTGTTATTAAATCTATTCATATGTGTACGCAAACTTTTATATCTTCTGCATGATGGAAGAGGGTGGAAGAGAGCATAACCAGGGTGGGAGGGATCTTTGATTATGTTGACTGCTTTCCCAAGACAGCGGGAAGTATAGATGGAGTCAATCGATGGGAGAGATAGTAGGAGCTGCAGATGCTGGAGAATCTGAGATACCAAGGTGTCTACACTTTGGTTTCTCAATCGATGGGAGGCTGGTTTGTGTGATGGACTGGGCTGTGTTCACGGCACTCTGTAGTCTTGTGAAGAGCAGATGCATCCGGATAGAATGCTTTCTGTGATGCATCTATAAAAATTGGTAAAAATCCTTGTGGACATGGCGAATTTCCTTAGCCTCCAGAGGAATTAGAAGCATTGTTGTGCTTTCTTGACCGCCGCATCGATGTGGGCGGACCAGGACCAGCGAAACTCCCAGGAACTTGACACTCTCGACCATCTCCACCTCAGCACCTTTGATGCAGAAAGGGGCGTGCCCTCCACTCTGCTTCCTGAAGTCAACGACCAGCTTCTTCATTTAGCTTTTTTTGATGGAGAGATTGTTGTCTTTATACCATGCTGCTAAGCATTCAACCTCTTTACTGCACTGTGTCTCATCAGTGTTTGAGATCTGCCCCACAATAGTGGTGTTGGCAGCAAACTTGTAAATTGAGTTGAGGTGTAATTTGGCCCCACAGCTCTGCCTTGACTCTCAGCAGCTGCCAGTCACCAATATTTAACATAACAAGGGTCTGAAGAAGGGTCACCGGACTTGAAACATTAACTGTATTTTCTCTTTACAGACGATGCTGGACCTGCTGAGTTTCTCCAGCAATTTCTGTTTTTGTTTGTTTCAGATCTCCAGCATCCACAGTTGTTTAACATAACAATGCCTCAGATAACTTGCCTGTGTGGGTCAGCGTACCTCCTTGATCCATAGATAATTTGTCTATAATCAGAAACAATTGGCTAGAATCACACCTTACAATTGTAAAGCTAAATAAAACTCTTGCAGCCTCAAGTGAAACCCAGTCACTACTGCCGCTAATTTGCTTATAGGAACATAGACAATAAAAGTCCAAGGTCCGTCTAGTTTGCCTTCTATCTTCCTGCAAATGATGATAATGGAGTTGTTGATTGATCATAGCAATCAGTCTCTGTCAACTACTTTACAACAGACATAGAAATGAGAAAACAGGGAGCCCTGGGACCCATAGATCCAACATCAGTTTTTTATCCTTCATATGTTATACAGTAGTACATCATCTTGTAATTGCATAATGCACCCCAAAAAGTTATTTCTAGAAATAAATCTATGTAACTTTAATTTGTGACTGAGATAACAAGGTGTAGAGCTGGATGAACACAGCAGGCCAAGCAGCATCAGAGGAGCAGGAAGGCTGACGTTTCGGGCCTAGGCCCTTCTTCAGAAACCCTTTTTTATTTGTGACTACCTTGTTTGAGTATATTAACTGTGGCTGTGTTGGTATCATTCTTATCTCTGGGTTGCTCGGTTTTCAGTTCAAGTCCACTCCAGGTTTAAGTACAAAAATCAAGACTGACATCCCTGTGCAGAATTGAGGGAATGCTGCACTATCAGAATTGTCATCCTCCCAATGTGAATGCAAAGCATGGCCCTCCTGGACTGGGTATTAAAGATTCTGTGGCCCTATTTTGAAGAGGTGGGAGAGTTATTGTTTACATCCACACCAATATTTATTCCTCAATCAACATCACACAACAGATTATCTGGTCGTTCACACAATGCTATTTGTGGGAGTCTGCTCTGTACAAATTAGTTGTTCTTTTCCACATTAGTGACTACAATTTAAAAAAGCCAGCAGACTGTAAAATGCTTTGAGTCAGTTCATTGACTGTAAGAGGATTTAAAATAAAATACAAGTCTTTCCTTT